ACAATGGACTCTCCGATTTTTGAAATCTCTGATTTAAAAGAGCTCTGCTCACATTCCATAGGTATATACTCAGTAGGTGATAAACACCCAACTCCAAGGGAGTCTGGGCAAAGATAATGCTCAACATAGCTATATTTGGATAAGTATAAACTCACTTCCATTGGAGTACAAAAGTAGGAGACAAATAATCACCTCCTGGGAAGGCTGTAAAAGGAATTCCTGCATCAAAATAAAAATTTCTCATGTTTAATCTAAGATTCCTTAATGCTTTGAAATTCTGTGAGTCTATAACATACATTTCACAAAATCAATTAAAGGTAGAAAAACACCCAAACAAGAAAATGGATATAAAATAAGAAGGTTGAAGACACAAAAACAAGCCATTAACTTCAAAATTTACCTGAGCTTGGAGCTGAAAGATTACATCATATTGGCTATAAGATCACAGTCCATATAACTATAATGCACCAATTAAAAAATAATGAAAAAAAATTCCAGTCCAAAGAATAGTAATTCAATTACCTGTTGTCTGACATCCATGGATTAGAATGAATTTATCAATAAAGGGATCTTTTTATATTTTACTTATGACTACCAGCATAATATCCTTTGACTAATTCTTTAGATAGTAAAAGAAGAGAACTTAAATTTTAAGTAGCATATATTATACTAGATGTTCATACATAATTTTTCATTTAATCTTTCTGTAATTGTCTTTTTAGAGTAGAGAAAATTAAAAAGATTAAACCAATCACCAGAAGTTACGTATGTTCCTGGATATCCATTTTCTTGATTTACATGTTGATTTCTTTTCATTGAACCTCTAAGTACCCACTTATTTGGGGGTAAGGAATATACCACCCCACACTGGAGGGTAAAGGGAACAATTCATTCAGGTATAGTTCCAGATCTTTAAATTAAAATAAGTATAATCATACAGAGAAACAAAGGTATGTAATTGCCTTTGTAAGAAATATTTTAAAAATTAACCATTGTAAAACATTTTAACTTATGGAGGAGGGTCAAACTGGTATGACAATTGTATAAATAAGTAAAACTTGCATATCACTTTAAAAGGATTCAGTGAGAACATCAAAACTTTCTACTTCCTTGAGTTAGAAAGGTCATATTTCTAGTTATTCTTCCCCTTATAGAATAAATTGAGTTAATTCCCTCATTTTTAATTAAATTTTAGCTCACTGATAGGCTATTACTGACAAAATGGATATAATTTATCATTTTATAGGGAAGAATAAAATATTCAAGTTTGTCTTCATTGACAATATATTCTATTTAGTATTTGGGTATTATCTCATTTTTCAGTAATAATTTTCCACAGACTTTTAGAGCCTAGAAACTCACTGTGAGGGAAAATGTCATATTCTCTTTCTCTAAGGCCTTCCTAGTTTATGTGGTGAATATATTATCCTATTTTTTCAGCCATTTCATAATAGTCCAGGAACATTTTAGCTTATTCCAAAAATAAAGAATGTTTAATGAGAATCACCCAGACATTTCAAAAATGGTCTAAAAGTGGTAATGCCTTGCTATCTTCTGAAAGTCCCTTTTCCTGATTCACATATTTCCTTTTGCCTTTTACTCCAGGTTTCTCTTGGCTATAATTGACTTACTTTTTTATAAAATAAATCCTTATAACAAAAAAATTTCTTTCTTTCCTTTTTTTCTAAACTATTTGACTTCATTCATCTCTAAGGCACTCAAATCTGTAGTTGTGTAGAAACAAGCTGAAACGTTCATTTAACAGTCACTTAACTAAGACTTCTTAATGAGACTTGGCAAATATTCTATCTTATACTTACAATCCTTTAGTTATAGTACAATAAACTAGAAACTACTTAACTAAGATACTCACCACTACTTCCTACTTCTAGCAAAGAGACTTAGTGTGGCATTTATGAGATTTAAAATAAAAGAATAAAAAGGACAGAACAGAACAATTCCATATTTCTGTATAATGACAATTCTTAAAAGCAGCATAAACTATTTTATGAACTGAAACTAAAGACACTCTTACAGCGGAAAAATATCCTTCAAGCACTGTGTCTTATAGTGCATATCACCACATACGGCATATCACACTATAGAATAACTACCTCTGAGCACACTCTGCCTTAGAAATACAGGGCAAAGCCTATAGATTTATTTTGTACATTATCACTGTATCTTCCAACAAGATGATGAAGTGTTCATCATGGCATAGTTAGTACATTGACATTTTCCCTACACAGCACCAATGATCTTTTCAAAATGTTGGTTCTATGCTCAAATGCTCCAATATGTTTCGAACTCAGAAGAACAAAATCCCAAATTCTTACAAAGGCTTATGATGACAGATTCTCACCTGGCCTCAGAGAACCTCTCTGGCTTTATCTATTTTCTCTGTCACCAGCTTCCTCACTCTAGTCACAGGAATTTCCTTGTGCTCCTCACACATGCCAGGTACTCTCCTCCCTCAAGGCCACTGTAGAACTTTACTTCTGCTTTGATGGTCAGGTAGAAATCATCTTGGCTTCATCCACTGTTTATTCCAGGTCTTTGCTTAAATACTACCTCCCTGATATTCACATCCCTTATCATTCTTTTCTTTTCTCCATGATAGTCATAGAATATGGATAATTGATTTAAAAAAAATTCCTTTCTCACTATAAACCTATAAGGACAGGAGTTTTGTTCTTTTTCAAAAATATGTTCCCAACACCTTAGAGTATATGGCACAAAGCAGCCACTCAATAAACATTACTTTTGAATAAACAAATGCAAAAGTTAATGTAAAAAAAATACCTAACACTGGTTTTCCAACAATATTTCTAACTGAAGCCAAGATTGCTGATGTGATAATCATAGAAATTAAAAATGAATGCTGTCCCAGCTCCTCACTAGTGTCTCCTACATATAACCTCCATGCATGTACTCATAAGGTTATTGGGACTATAAAGAGCAGAGAGATTTCAAGTAAACACAGAAATATAACAAGGAAGACTGCAGAATATGTGTGTCATGATTAATTGAATAGTAAGTCCCTCAAATAAGCACTACTTGAAGCTTGCTATGTTTATAAATTTGCATATATTCCCCCCACCCACCATTACCCAGACCAGATTTATTCTGACCACTGCCATATGTTCAATACAGTCCAAAAAAGTTTTCCTCACTTATTATTTAAAACTTCATTTCTTTATACATTTTGGGTATTAACAACCCCTTATCAGATGTATTGTTTGCAAATAATATTGTCTTGTTCTTGATTGTCTCAACACTTTGTTGATTGTTTCTTTTCCTGTGCAAAAGATTTTGAGTTTGATATAATCTTTATTTTATTGATTTTTAAATTTTTTTCCTAAATAGTTACACATGACAGTAGAATGTATTTTGACATATTGTACACAACTGGAGCACAACTTCTCACTCCTCTGGCTGTACATGGTGCAGAGTCACAGTTTGATGAATTCTTATCTATTTTTATTTTTGTTGCCTGTTCTTTGGGTACTATTCAGAAATTGTTTGTCCTAACCAAGGTCAGGGAGCCTTTCCCCATGTTTTCTTCACGTAGTTTTATATTTTTAGGTCTCAGGTCATTTATTTTGAGTTAATTTTGGTCTATGATGTGTAATAAGGCTCCAATTCTGCAAATGAATAGGTCTTACCAACATCTTTTTTTCAGTACAAACAAAAATTTATTTTTAATGCTTTTAATAATATATTTAATTATATATACTAGTTGGGCTCATTTTGACATAATCCTACATGCATGGAATTTAATTTATTCCATTCCAGTGCCCAACACCTCCTTTCCCTCTTGTCTTCCTTCCCCCCACCCCCCTTCCTCTGCTCTACTAGTCTTCCTTCTATTTATTTATTGTTTTTAATTGATACTTTATAGATATACATGAAGGTGGAATTCACTGTGGCATATTTATAAATGTTTATAGCATAGTTTTTTCAGATTCACCTTTGGACTATCCCAGTGTTTGTTCTTCCATCTGGCATTCAAAACATACAAGAAATTCAACTCAATAATAAGAAAACAGATAACCAAATTTGAAAATTGACAAAGGATCTGAATAGACACTTCTCAAAAAAGACAAAAAAAATGGCCACCAGGTATATAAAAAATCCTCAGTGTCATTAATAATCAAGGAATTACAAATTCAAGCCACTAGATATCATCTTAACACTGTTAGGATGATGACTATCAAAAAATGAAAGCTATAAGTTGGTGAGGATATGGAGGAAAGGAAACCTTTATACACTTTCAGTTGGGAGGTATAATAGTACATCCTTTATGAAAAACTATTTCCTCAAGAAAATTAAAAACAGAACTACTATATGATTCATCAATCACATTTCTGGGTATACATCCAAAGGATATGGAATCAGCATGTTGAAGAGACATACGTGCTCCCATTTTCATTGCAGTACTGTTCACAATAACTCTGTTAGCTTCACATACTATAATAAAATACCTATGATAATCAACTTATAAAGAGAAAAGGTTTATTTGGGCTCACAAAAATTCTGGAGGTTACAGCCATGATCAATTGGCCCCATTTCTTTGCACCTGTGATGAAGCAACACATCATGCTTGGCAGAGCAAAACCATTCACCTCATTGCTAGAAAAGAAAGCAGAAGAGAAAGGGATCCCAGGATTCACTTCAAGGGCATTGTCCCAGTGACCTAAGGATCTCCCAGAGGGCCCCACTTCCTAGAGGTTCCACTCTGTCTCGATAGCACCACCGTGGGAACCAAGCCTTTAAGACATGGGTCCTTGGGGACATTCAACATCCAAATCATGGTGGTAACCAAGACATGGAACCATTGTAAGTATCCATCAATAAATGAATAAAGAAAGAAAATGTTAAAAAAAAAAGAAAGTAAGTAAGAAAGAAAATGTTGTATATATACATACATAACAGAATACTGTTCAGCGTTGGAAAGGAAGAAAAGCCTGTCATTTGAAACAACTTAGATAAGCCTAGAGGATACTATGTTAAGTGAAATATGCCAGGAATGGAAAGACAACTATCAAATGATCTCACATGTGGAGTGCAAAAAAGCTAAACTGATGTAAGCAGAGAGTTGCCAGAGATCAAAGTGGGGGAGGTGAGCGGCCTTAGTCAAACTCGTAAAATTTCAGTTAGACAGGAAGAGTATATCAGGGATACAACATAATGACTACCATTAATACCAATGTATTGTGTATTGAAAATCACTAAGAAAGAAAATTTTACATGTTCTCTCCACACACAAAAAAATTAGAAGTACATGAGGCAAGAAATATATTAAATAGCTTGATTCAGCCATTCCACAATATATCAAAACATCATGTTGTACACCATAAATTTATATAAGTTTTACTTGACAAGATAAATAGAGAGAGATGGAATTTTTAATTAAAAAAAAGGCATTATCTCCTTTAAAGATCAAATTCAGATATTCCTATCATAAGTCAGTAACTACCTGTTCCCCATAGCTCTCTTTGCCTTCTGCTGGTGTTCCTTCTGTCACAAAGTCCATGTCTGAAAGAGAGGGAATGTGGAATCAGTAAAAAAGGGATTGGCCCTAGGTCTCCTGTGCAGCTGGTCTGAGACTGGAGGGGCCTTCCGCGGCTTCACTAGTGCACTCCGTTCTCTCAGAGGAATCTGATACTGACCCTTCTCTGTGGAATATTAAAGTGTCTAAGGTATCATCTAAGCCCTCCTTGAAGTCTTCTCCTCTGGTCTCTTACAGAAATTTCACTCCTTCCACCCACCCTATTCTGGTACCTAGAGTATTTATTGGCTCCAACCTCTGGATAGAACTCTCATTCAGAAAAAAAAAGTAAGCATCATCCCTGGATTTAGCAAGAAAAGAACAAGAAGGGGATCGGAGGACAGAAAGAGTGTGACTTTTAATTTAGCAGGTAAAAATGTTAATCTACTTTTATTCTCAGCCATGAGCAATCTCAATTTGACATTTCCAGTTTAGACTTGGACAAGGGGCAAATCTACAGACTTGTCAAGGGGAAGGGAAACATTTCACCACGTTTCACATCACCAAGTACATATATTAGTGGTGGGACAATTACACCCTCTTCCCAAAAATGCTGTCACATAAAATCAAATCAGTTAAAGAATTTTATTTATTTAGTGCCTACCATATATCAAGTATTGCTTATGTGTGGCATTGAAAATATTCTCATTGAAACCTTAAGAAAATTGCCTGAGACAGATATTTTATCCCCATTTGACACATGAAATAGAGACTCAGAGAAACACTAACTTATTTAAAGTCATGTAGGAGTCAATTCTCTTCCTCTCTCTCTCTTTCTCTCCCCCACCCCATCTTTCCCTTCCTCCCATTCTTGCTCTTCTCAATATATCCCAAAATTTCTGAATGTGTCCTATTTTGTCCTAATGTATATGTAACATTCTATTATCATTAGAGTAGCATCATTATGAAATTATAACCAACTCAGACAAGGGCTATAATGTGACCAAGACTTTAAATCAAGAGCATAGAGAGATGGCCAGCAGGCAGAATTTAGTCTGAAGCCTGTCTTGTTTTGACAACATGGTGCTTAGTTCTGATTTTTTAATGCTTTTAGGTAGGTTGTGCACGTCCCCATTTCTGTATCTATGACTCCCTTCTGATTCACACCCTTATTTCCCACATGCCTTCTTTCCCACATAGCTTCTGAAGGCATTTGAGTTTGGAAGCTTTGTTTAAGGTCAAGCACAAATCAAGGCAACTCATAGTCCTTTTAGCTTATCTGGCTTAAAATCATTGTCGATTCCTACTGAGAAAACGGTCTTTCATCTAGAAGACAATTTGGCAAACCTAAATAAGGAAGACACATTAAAGCAGCTTGGTAAAGGTTTGGGCAGGAAGAATTCAGACCTGAAGCCAACAGAGCTGCTTAAATGGAAAAAAAAAAATGAGTAAGAGTGAACATTACAATAGCTGCCAAATGTCAAAAGCAAGCAGCACAACTAAAATAAAACTGTTAATTTGATCTTACTTTTGTTTGGTGTAAGATGTGGGGGGTGGGGGTATCCTAGTATTCACATCTATCTCTTTCCATGAGACTTAAAATTCTTGTGCAAAAATAATTCAAATCTTCCATCAGATTCAGCCAGATGGAGAGGACACAAAACCGTCTACCAGTGATGCTCTGCTTGTGTCTCTGACCCACTAGACTGAAACACCCCTTCATGTTGAATTCTCTCCATCTGCAATAGCTAGATGATGTCCAACAACAGTATTTACTAAAATGCAGGTTCCTAGGCCCTGGGCCATTGTGACTAAGTCTCAAAGTGAGATTTTGGAATCTAGTTTTTAGCAAATAGCATTCTATAATTTTGCCATGACTTAAATTTGGGAACCACTGAATTAAGACTTATGCCATAGGTCCCCTGCCTCAACTCATTTGATCTCGACTCCTGCCCTTCTTGGAACTTTAATTATTGCCAGATTTTTCTTATTGAGCTGAAGCTCAGGTAAACACTCCTTCAAGCTGGCTCTCTTGTACTGCTGCCCAATTTCTAGCCTAACAAGGTGATTGTATTTTATAATTACTTCTACTCTTCATTCTTTGTACTAATATTGAAATAACTAACTGCCCTGTTAAGTTGTCATGAGCAGTACCTATGAGTCTAGAAGCTAAAAAAAAGGGGGGGTGTTTTAAATAGCTCTTTTCTATAAAATGATGGAAGGAAATAATTTCCAAAATAAACAAACAAAAGTCATTCGACAGATAAAATAGATCAGGCACAGACACTCAATAAACAGTTTGCTCATCTCTAGGAAAACAAAACAACAACTTTGCTGCGTTTTGTGCCTGTCAACCTTTACATCTGTATAAATAGTAATTTATTTTATGGTTTATTTCTTTGAGTACTTGCAATCAACAAGCAAACTACTGCATTACATTTGCCCAGCTTTCCTATCAAGACCATAGAATAAATGAGCTGCAGGACTACATGTATATATTCTTTTAAAGTAGATTGAAAATATATGTAAATTGTTCTGTCTCCTGAGCTTAGGCAGCATGCAAAGATGCTTAAGGATGATGACAATAATGCAAAATTGATGGCAATTTATTTGCTATAATAGCAACTCTGAGTCACAATGAAGAAGGTGATGATACATATGGGAAATAATTTTAGTAGGAACGTAACCTCTGACTACAAAATTTTTAAAGTAACAAAGTTCTGTGTTAACTTCAGTAGCACAAGTGCTATGCTGTCATTTCCTTCTAGGCAGCCAATTGTAATGCAGGCCTCTCCAAGATCTGCAATACATGGAGTTTGCTACCCAGGGAATTTTGTGGAAGACTCAGGATTTTGGAGGATTCCCAGTGGCAATGGAAAGGTTGTTTCTGTTCCAAGTGTCACATCCCTTTAGAACACACACCATTCCACATCAGTTGAACAATTACCAATTCTACAAGCAAAACAAGTAATGTAAAAGGATAACAGTATGTAGAAAATAAAAATATCTAGGTTAAAGAATAGAATTCAACCTTTCAGATGGTAACTTGAAAGAAACTCAAAATTTTAGATGCACATCTTTTTATTTCAAGTTCTCTTATATATTAGCACTATTCAATAATAGATCAATTGAGAATCGTACACAAAGCCATTTATTTCAACATTCTTTCAACAAAATTCTTTACAACATTTTAAACTTTTATCAACACAATATAGATTAAATAAACTATGGCAAATATTCTGGTGTATGAACATAAAAAACAATTTTTAAAAAAAGCATTGTATGTATTGATTGGAAAGATATCTATCACGTTGTCATTTTTTTAAAAAAAGTAAGTAGCAAAGTATTACTATATGTGTTTATACTTGTGTATAAAATAACTATCTATATACGCATTTAATACTTATATATACATTGAAAATTTCCTAAAAGATGCAGATTCCCATGATTATCTCTGGAGGTTGTAAATGAGAGACCTGAAAGACTTGGGAGCTTTCACTCTCCACTTCATACCTTCTGTACATTGTAGTGTTTTTACTTTTTATCATTGGCTTATATCCATTTAAAATATAAACAATGAAAGATCAAAATTTTTGATAAAAATTTTGTGGGTAATAGTATATAAATTCTCACACAGTGTGGGTAATAGTTATACAAATAGTAAGGAAATACAAATTACCTTAACATCATTAAGGAAAGTGCTCATTGTTAACATTTTCTTAGAAGAAAACTTGGCAATAGCTTTCAAAATGAAACACATGCATTATTTGATCCAATAGCTCCTTCTCTAGGACTTGGTCCTTGAGCTATACTGATATCCACATGCACAGGACAGTAATTGCAACATTATAAATAAGAGCAAAATGCAAATCTGCCCAACTGTCCAACAGTTATACATCAATAAATGGACTACTATGAAATTGTTTTGAAAGGCTGAGAATTTATCTGTGCACTTAAATAATCACCAACCAAGTTAATTATAAAGAGCAAGCCAAATTAAATGTTACCAGATATGTTAATACAAAAAGCATATATATGTCTATATACTTCTAAATACATAGAATAAATTAGAAAAGAAGAAGAATTAAAAAGAACTGGTGATTCGCTTCCTCTTGAGGGATGGCCCACAAAGAAAAGACTTAATTTTACTATGTATCTTCTTATGTATGTATTGTGTGCCATGTATTTTATTATTTAAAAATCTAATTTAAAATGTTTGATAAATAACTTTAGATGGAAGCCATAGATATTCATTTCACTTTTAGAACAAGTTGACTTTTATTCATCTATTCAATAAACATTTATCAAAAACTTATTATGTGCCAAGTACAGACCTAGGTTCACAGGACATATCAAATAATAAAACAAACTCTCTGCCCTTATGAATTTTATATCGTGGTGGTGGTGGTTCAGGGAAGACATTAACAGTAACATTAAGTATAATAACAATATGCAGTATGGTATATAGTATATTATAGGTATTAAATATGGGAGAAAGAAGAGTAGATTGGGAATACAGGAAATGCAGGGGTGGAAAGTGGGGAACAGGTTGCAATATGAAATAAGGTAGGCTGGAGCATCAGGAAAAGCCTCACTGAGGGTAAGATTGGAACAAATGTTCAAAGAAGGCCAATGAGTGAGTGGTAGTCTGGGGAAAGAGCTTTTCAGGGAAAAAGAAAAAGCTCAAGAGAAGTCGTTGAGATATAAAGGTATCTGGAATATTCAAGAAGAAGGAAGGCCAGTAGGACTGGTAAAGAATGACTGAGGAAAAGAGAAGTAGCAGGTGAGATCAGAGAAAGAACTGAGATCAGATCTCCTAGGCAAGGACTCTGTGTGCCATTAAAGAGCCTTGGTTTTTATTGAGTGAAACAGAACCAACTGCAGAGTTTAAGCAGAGAAGTGATATGGTTTGACTTACTTTTCCAAAGACCACTCCAACCACTGTATTGAAACTAGACAATAGGGAAGAGGCTGGAAATGGAGACTTTTAAAGAGCCTACTGTGTAACTTAAGCAGGAGATGGTGGTCCTCTAGGAGCAGCAATGGT